TACTCAAAAGATCCTCTGTAAATAAGGCTTCATTTTTCCATTATAATCTCTTTTAGAGGCTGCCTCCATCAAGGTTTTTTACATCCCACTGTCAATTCTCTCTCCTCCTGACAGTTTGTAAGTCCCATTTTTCCAGATCCCTTTTGAAGATTTTCTCAATTTTCGTCACCTGTGCTTTCAGATGTACTGATTTCAATTACTCTCATGCTAAAGAAAAGCGAGCCAGGGCATGGTGGTGATCAGATTGAAACATTGTCAAGTGGTAAAGGAAGGGACTTAACTCCTAAACCCCTTCCAGGTTTGGGACAGGGAAGGGGTAGAGGCTTTACCAGCAAGCCAGGGTCAGGACAACGGAACCTGTCCCATACCTACCTGATTGCCATCCCACTTGAAGAACACTACTATACAATAAAGCCTTGTCTCAAACTGAAATGCTTAATGTGAGAACGTCTCCCTTCACCTAGTATTTGGATAACAAACAAAATCATGCATCCAAAAGAAGATTTCCACTGTTTAAAAAAAATGAAGATTTCCAGTCCTGTTTGAAATGCTTCCTAAACCAAAAGAAGCCATCTCAGAAGTCACACAAAGAAACATTCTTTTATGCAATGGATAGGGGGTGCATAGTTGGTTTTTCTTCTGCAGTTATCCTCTTCAACAAAAGAGTTTGGATGGCTTCCACACCCATCACCTGATCTATTTGACCTAGGGACCTCCTGAAGTCGCATCCAACAATAACATGCTTCATCCTGCGAACTGTGACCTTACATGATGTGTTGGATAGATTTAGTAAAATGGCAATTTGTGGACTGGCAATATGGGTAGTTAGTTTCTCTTTTTTTATTCCTGGTAAAAGGTGGATAGGAGCAGAAAAACGAAATTAAGGAATCAGAAGGAGAGTGAAACATGTACTAGTGGTATTCCACAGTAATATCCAAATCAACCATAAAAAATACAGACCAGTATTCTGTGCACACCCACAAAGATCTTTGCTATTACTCTTACCTTCCTGGCATTGCGTTGGTTAGCATATACAAAAAGAAAAGAAAAAAATTTTGTTTCCTTCCAATTCGATACTATACTAAAGAATCCTATACAAATATAAACATCAACTTCCATCCCTGAATGACTACATATATACATATGTATTGAATATTAAAGAAACTAAGACAATTAAATAAGATAAATTAATACAAGGTACTACAGCTTATTTCATTTCAGCTTAAGAAACTCAAAAACACTAAATAAATTGTAACGGGCTCGTTTGATAACGTTTACAGTTTTTGATTTTCTAAAAAACGAAAAACATAATCAAAAAACGAAAAACATCTTTTTCTCGTTTTTGAAAATCGCCCCTCGTTTACAAAACGATGAAAGAAAAAAAAAAAGGTTATCAAACGAGTGTTTTTTTCTTGTTTTCTCTAAATATCAAAATAAAAACAAAAAACGAAAAACATAAACGTTACCAAACGGGACCAAAAGTAGTTGGGAGCAAAAAATCTTGCTTGGAAAGAAAAGGAAAATGAAACAGGAAAAATTAATGTTGTGTTACTGTTAAATTACTGTACCACAACTAATTCCAAAAAGCTTTCTCCTCACACCTTTGCAGTTTTTAGATGAAAAACAATGATATCTCTATGACTGTTAATGGTATCTTGCTATTTGACAAAAGGACTAGAAAATCATTATCACCCATCTATTGAGAATGCACACCCTCTCACCCCTTTTCTCTCAAGTCCACGTATATATCGTATATTGTACGCTCAACTTAAATTTTTATATGTGTATGTACTTATACATATACATATATATACATATCTATATATATATATACACACACACATATACAGACAACCACGCACATACTTAAAAATATGGAATTATTTACCAAAATATAGTTATTTTATAACAAATTTATCGATCTACGGCACTTTTAAACTTATTTACCAAAGTACGGCACTTTTTAAAAGTGGAGTCAATATTTTCACTTTTGTTAAAAAACGTCTCTGCTTTTGTTCAAAAAAACGAAGTCAACAAGCCTCTTTTTAAATAAAAGACATTTTTAACATCATTAGAAAACGTAATTAGTAAACCCANTTAGCATATACAAAAAGAAAAGAAAAAAATTTTGTTTCCTTCCAATTCGATACTATACTAAAGAATCCTATACAAATATAAACATCAACTTCCATCCCTGAATGACTACATATATACATATGTATTGAATATTAAAGAAACTAAGACAATTAAATAAGATAAATTAATACAAGGTACTACAGCTTATTTCATTTCAGCTTAAGAAACTCAAAAACACTAAATAAATTGTAACGGGCTCGTTTGATAACGTTTACAGTTTTTGATTTTCTAAAAAACGAAAAACATAATCAAAAAACGAAAAACATCTTTTTCTCGTTTTTGAAAATCGCCCCTCGTTTACAAAACGATGAAAGAAAAAAAAAAAGGTTATCAAACGAGTGTTTTTTTCTTGTTTTCTCTAAATATCAAAATAAAAACAAAAAACGAAAAACATAAACGTTACCAAACGGGACCAAAAGTAGTTGGGAGCAAAAAATCTTGCTTGGAAAGAAAAGGAAAATGAAACAGGAAAAATTAATGTTGTGTTACTGTTAAATTACTGTACCACAACTAATTCCAAAAAGCTTTCTCCTCACACCTTTGCAGTTTTTAGATGAAAAACAATGATATCTCTATGACTGTTAATGGTATCTTGCTATTTGACAAAAGGACTAGAAAATCATTATCACCCATCTATTGAGAATGCACACCCTCTCACCCCTTTTCTCTCAAGTCCACGTATATATCGTATATTGTACGCTCAACTTAAATTTTTATATGTGTATGTACTTATACATATACATATATATACATATCTATATATATATATACACACACACATATACAGACAACCACGCACATACTTAAAAATATGGAATTATTTACCAAAATATAGTTATTTTATAACAAATTTATCGATCTACGGCACTTTTAAACTTATTTACCAAAGTACGGCACTTTTTAAAAGTGGAGTCAATATTTTCACTTTTGTTAAAAAACGTCTCTGCTTTTGTTCAAAAAAACGAAGTCAACAAGCCTCTTTTTAAATAAAAGACATTTTTAACATCATTAGAAAACGTAATTAGTAAACCCACTGTCTAGGCACTCCAAGTTTACAAAGCCTCTCAAAACAAAAAGATTTTTTTTTTTGGTCTGTCAGACAACAATTAGAAGAATCATTAAAACACTCAAAAAACCTCTGGTGTTCCATGTGGTTTCTATCAATAATTGCCTCTCTGACATAAACAAGTCTATGTCATTAGTCCTAGGCATTATGAAGCTCTTGTCAAGGTCATAGCAGTGTAAATGTCAAGGTCATAACAGTCTTTTCAAGGTTTTTACCTACGGTGTATTTGCCTTGCCCATATAAAACGTGTTATTACATACAATAATAGTGCTCGCCTAAAACTTTTAGAAAAAGTGGGATCCTTGAATCCACTTTTTCTTTCTATAGTAAGTAAATGTTATTTAAAAGTGAGGTTGTTGACTCCATTTTTATTGTAAAAACGGAGATATTGACTCCGATTTTAAAAAATATCAATAGTAAATAAATTCAAAAGCGTTGTAGATCGGTAAATTTGTTATAAAATGGTTGCATTTTGGTAAATAACTCTAAAAATATGTAAATATATAGTGTTCAAAGTAATATAAATACTATTTCAACTCATTTATCTCTTCGTGCGATGCTTATTTCCGATGGAGATCAAAAAGGAATAATCTTTTGTCTTCAAAACATAGATCAAAATGTAGCTAGTCTCTTGTCTGTTTGAGGGAGAAGAAAAAAAATAGGATGCTAGAGAAGCGAAAAAAGGTGGCAAGAAAAGACAATGATCGAGAGCTTAGTTTTTTTGAGATCAATCCAAAAAGAAAAAATAGCATATACAAAATAATGTTGTTTGAATATTTAGGGTAAACAAAAGTCTTTTAAAGCAACGTCGCTTCATTGTGTAGAGTAAAAAATTTTAAAAATGATCTTATGTGTATCATTTTTTTACTATAACAAAACGTATCATAAAATACATATCGCGTATTGTAAGATACGATAAAAAACGATACAACTCGTACATATATATTGTTTTGGGTACTGTATCCAGACGAGGCGTATCATGAGATACATATCTCGTCTCATAAGAGACTGAAAACTATGTATATATATATAAATAAATGTTCAACCGATCTTGTATTTCGATTCCAATCATTTAAATTGTCAAATGCTATCACAGATACTTCACAATCCTATTTCAAGCAATGTCATTACTTCTAATATCAATACTTGAACATTTTGAAAGTATTATATCAGGCTGCCCATGCTCTTTCAAATTTTGATTTATTTATGATTTAGCCAGTAAATGTTCATCACACTTTCCCTCATTCCCTACATTGCAAAGCACACAACAAGTAATTTAAAAACTAAAATAAGGACTGGCAATGTTTCAATTTTATCAAATTAAAGTATACTCATGTTCTATCACACACCAGGCTTCCTGCTGGTGATTTTATAGGAGACAAGTGGAGTGGAAAGGTTCTCATGGGCAAATTAATACCTAGAAACAAGCAAGTGAAGGGTTGCATATTTTACCGACGTAGTTTAATATCAGAGATACCTCGCCAAATCTCAAGCTATAGAGTTGTCAGAAGGTGTTATCATGATCAAGTTAGCAAGGCCACACAACTAATAGCCATGATAAATGGTAGGTGCTACCTCAGGGATATATTGGAAATCAAGGATATATCCTATAGAACCATAGAAAGACAGGTACAAAAAAGATGCAGGAAATACAAGAAAATGGAACAGAATACTACATGTCTGAATATTTACAGAGAAAGGGAGTGCCAAATTTGTGAACTCTTTTAAAATCATTTTCAATACCTCAGTAATGGAGGCCATCAGCACTGACTCAATCTGATAATTGATATGTTACGTATTAAACATTCTGTTTGGATGAACCATGAACAATGTATGCATCATGAACGCCCCGTAGGAATATAAGGCAAGAAAGAGAAGTTTTATTTGCACCTTCAAATCAAGAATGCCAATAAGGTTACTTTTACATTAACATATTTCTTACACCAAAAGAAAATGACTATGAAATGGAACCTCAAATTTGAGAGCTTTAAATTCCACTAAATGCGTAATCCATATCTAAAGAACACAACCAAGAAACACAAATCACAAAAACCTAAAATTGATCAAAACAGCACAGCATATTTATTAGTATCGTACGATACGCAATACATATCATACGATACGTCACGATACAGCTAAAAAAATGATGCTCATTGTGCCTCAATATCGATTTTGCATCATATCGTACGATACACAATACAATACGATATGATACGTCCGATACTTGAATATCCTTTTTTTTATTTTTTTTTATTTTTTGGGGGCCGAAATGACATTTCACTGGTGAACTTAATTTTAAATCACTAGCCAGTGAAATAACGTCGTTTCAATGGTTATGGCTTAAAAAAAAATAAAGTCTGCTATTAATATTATTTAATTGAATTCAAAATTTCTGATTAAAATTAAGGTTGTTTAAGCAGTTGATATTAGAAATTTGAATTAAAGATCTTTGCATTTTGATATTACTGAACTATGTTAAGAACTTGAATAGTTAGTGGAATATTAATGAAATGTTATATTATTATGAGTTTATGAATTTTTTTACAAAGGTATATATATATAAAAATTATTAATAATTATTTAAAATTGTGCGTATCTTACAATACACGATACAATACGATACACTATTTTTTGAAAAGTGATATGCCTTCTGATACGCGATTTGACAATTATGCAGCACAAAACAAAATTCTTGCTCAAAGAGAATGGAGATCTTCCAAAGATGGTTTCCAAAACAAACATAAAACCTAATATAAATGGCTGGATGAACAGGAAATGACAACATTTTGTTCAAGCAGAATAGAATAACTGCAACTGTTTATGCTATCTTTAAGTTATAACATAAAAAGTCCAAAGTTCATGCAAAAAGCTGGCTACATTTCATAACCTATATTACTCGATCCTATATGGTTGCATGCCATAATCTTATCCCCAAATTCCATTGGAAAGTGACTCATACCTTGTGGAACTATCCCCCGTAAAGTCCAATAAAAATCTTACAGAAAATCAATTTTATGTGGTCCTTTAGGGAAAATAAAGAAAACAAAAAGTGCAAGATTTACAACTGTCGCTAATAATGTCATACTGAATTGAAGTAATGTTGGAAGGGTTGCCAAGCACTTTGAGAGACATACCTTCAGACTCGGTATATTTGAAAAAATCCTGGACTGAGAATAGTTTCTTCTTATCAGGATAGTCTTTGGAAGATCGCCCTAACTGAGGTACAAGCTCTATTAGTTCTGTAAATGAGACAGTGGACAAAGTTGATCTTAAACGCTCAACATTGGATAATGGAATACTAAGTAGCCCACTAGCCAGCTTTTGTGGTGAACTGCCTCCAGTGTCTTCCCGGCTGTCAGTGCTAACACCATTTTCACCATCCTCCTTGACTGAAGAAGTTACTCCAACCATAGTTGATGGGACACCTCCTACCCTAGCAAACTTCAGACTTCCCAAAAATCCATTGACATCTGCTCTTTTACCCTCCAGTATACTAGTAATTGCTTTCCAATGATCCAAATGAGTTGTACCAACACTCTTACAAGCTCTTTCTTTATGACCCTGGTCAAACTTTTGAAGATTTTGAGTAAATTGATCAAAGATAAAGCCTATAAAGCAATCAAGTGACATGTTATTTCCTTCTTTATCTTTCAGACTTTCACCATGAAATACCGTACGTGGCTGGCCCTTCAACTCCTTTTGCTTTAACTCACACAAAACCCTTGATTTGGAAGCCTTTCCACATGAATGCATACAAACCTTATCTTCATTATTCATTTTCTGAAACAGCTTTTTGTTCGTTTCAAATGGACTTTGAATTGCCTGAACAAAACTGCCAAGCAACAATGAGCAAGTCACCGCGACCTGCAAGCAATTCATGCAAGTCCCATCCTCTTTAACAGTACCCACATCTTTTGACGGAGAAATGTCAACCTTATTGTGCCCATTCAAGCCATAATTATGTGGAAACATTCCAAAGAATGCCTTAATCGGGATCGTTATGGATAAATCCTTCTTTCTCTCATCATTAGCCACACACTGCCAACTCTCTTTTTTCACAGAACATACCTGAAACTTATTATTATTATTTTGAATATTTTCCCCAACCACATTTTGTGTCGTAACAAATCCATTGCTGCTACTGGCCCCATTTTTCATTACAGGCCAACAATGTTCAAGGTCTTTTGCTGCTTTCCGAATACCGGACTCCAACGGAGAAAATGCATTTTTCACAACTTGTAACGTATTGAATAAGGACTCAACTGGGTCATTCCCAGACAACATCACTCAGACCCTACCTACTGTCTCTGTGTATATTCAAATCTGAAATTCAAGCTTAAAACATGCATGCACCTCTACAAATCAAGACAAAATCCATGATAAGCACTCACAATGTCGAAACTAAATCAGGAGAAATAATTACCGAACACCAAACCAAAAGCAAGCTTCTCCGATAATCACATGTCCAATCCATGAGCAAATTGAATAATCTGTGAAATACTCTGTGAAATCTGAAATGCTTACGAATGTGAATATATACCGAGAGGATTGAAAACGAGAGCTATATATATATATATATATTCACAGTGTAGTTAGCTGCATGTATGTACAATTACATTTTTCGAATCTGAAATGGATATTGAGTGATTTACAGATAAATTGTTTTACCTGCGAATCTAGAGGAAGATTTTATTGGTGATTTTTCGCTGCTAAATTTTTGTAGGAGTTTTTACAGAGATCTGAAAGTCTCCGAGAGAACCAGAAAATGAAGAATAAGAAGGCGAAGAAGAAGAAATCTCCATCCTATTTTTCGTTTGATTTATATACTAAAATATTAGTAATTTTTTTATTCTTCTGTTGTTGGAGAAAAACAAAATGGGCAAACTTCATTTTAGCCACTTTCCGTTTGCTCTTTATGCACTTTGCTCCCTTGACTTTTAAAAATTTTAACTGCATAACCCCCATAGAGTTTGTGAACAAAAATTAAGGATTAAAATTTTGTTTCGATAAATTACTTTGGTCACCTAGGTAAAGAAAACATTTCAATGTGTTTTGACCTACTTAGGAAATAGAATAAAAAATAAAAATTTTAAAAAATATTTTTTCAAAATATATTAAAGTATTGAAATATTCTAAAATAATTGTACAAATACATTTAAATATTACAAAATATCTCAAAATATTATGGAACACATCTAAATATTAGAATTTTAATTCTATCACTGATTTGTTTTGGTCTTCTTTGAAATGAAAACGTTACAATCGTTTCGAAATAAAATTTTAATCATCGACTAAAATGCACAGTTATAATTTTTATCCAAATTAACTGTGTGTAAAACCACACTCCAAAACTAGTTGAGAGTTGATCCGGTAATGTCATTTTACTAAGTACAAAAATACTCTCATGATCTTCTATATTCTCAATATCTTGTCTCTCATTATATTAATTATTATATAAATGACCAAAAAATTGTCACCCGCCACCATCATCGGTGATCACCCGTGGTCAACAACAATTCATTGACGACTACTCCTTCATTTCCTAGCAAGACATAACCTCGTCTTTGAATATTTTGTCTTTCTTAACAAGTGTCAGTGCTTTGTGTGGTGAAAGGGTCTATCGGGGTGGAGGATGAGAGTAGGGCCTAATGAATATGAAGAAAAATAGTGGCAAAGAGGGGTATTTAGGTCATTTGATCTTAACTGTTTACAGAGTTAGGTGTGCATTTTGGTTCACAAAAACACACGGAGGTTATGTGGTTATTTCCAAACATCTAGTGGGGCAAAGTGCAAAAAGAGCAATATACAAGTGGATAAAATGAAGTTTACGAAATATAATATGCTTTCTCTTTATTTATTTATTATTTTTTTGTGAGTTATAAAGGATAAGGACTGACGAGTGTTGATAAAAACGGTAACGTAGAGTCCTAGTAGGACGGACCGCACTCGGGAATCTTTAGGTTTAGTGTTAATACACATGACACATCTATCCGGACCAGTATTGACAATGGTCTCGAGTTTTGTTAATTTGAATTGGGTATGTCGAATTTATATTTTAAAATAAATTTAAAAAATTATATAAATTCAGCTTATTTAAAAAATGAATCAAGTCTAAAATTAGTTAAATCCGAGTCTAATCCGAATAACTCAACTATTTTTCATATAAACGATTTAAACTTTTTTTTGACTCGTTTTTCTATATCAGTCTAAACAATTGTTAAGTTCAACTCATTTTTTCTACTTATTTCAATGTCATAAAATTCAAGTTTGATCATCTGATAGTGAATTTGTATATTTAAAATTTATGTTACAGTTACTAATCAAAAAACATTCATAGTGGAACAGAGATGAAGTTTTGTGCATCTGCTCAATCTAGAAAAAGACAACTGAAGATTGAAAGTGCATTTAGATTTCAAAGTGTAGATTGGAGAAGACGACTGAAGAGTCCAATTTGGATCTGGTGTGGCCACTGGTCGCTGCTCGTATGGATGGAACAGTCGGATAAGATAGAGATGAAGTAGCCTAAAAAATGATTTTTGAATTTTTTTATGCATCAAGTTTTGAACCAGTAGGTTTTATTGAAACGCCCAATTTTTGTCAAAATCGATCAGTTTAGCGGTTTTCCAATAGTTCAAATGCACAGACAGTCATTCTAACGAATCAGACTAGTTTGGCTTCAGTTCATTGGTCTGATTGGTCAGTCCAATTCTAATAACATGTAATGATTTCAAAATTTTCAAGATAGATTGTTTTTTTGGACCATAGTATTTCAGATGGATAGATAAATGTTAGTATGTTAGTTGTGGAGACAAACAATTGTTATCTGATTAAATTACTAATCTTATGTTGCTTTAGCTGGATTAATCATTGACATTGGGAACATCTTTTTTCTATTTTTTTGTGTTTGTCTTTAAAATAGAAGTTGCAAATGAAGCCAAGAGAGAGAGAGAGAGCGAATTTTATTTTCTCAATCCATGTTTAAATCATTAAAATTCGGATTTTTGACCCAAAAATTCGATACAACTCGAATGAATACATCNTTAGTATGTTAGTTGCGGAGACAAACAATTGTTATCTGATTAAATTACTAATCTTATGTTGCTTTAGCTGGATTAATCATTGACATTGGGAACATCTTTTTCCTATTTTTTTGTGTTTGTCTTTAAAATAGAAGTTGCAAGAGAAGCCAAGAGAGAGAGAGAGCGAATTTTATTTTCTCAATCCATGTTTAAATCATTAAAATTCGGATTTTTGACCCAAAATTTCGATACAACTCGAATGAATACATCGGGTGAAAATTCAACAAATTACATCTATATTATAACTCAATTTTATCAAATTATCACTTAATTTTAACACATAATTTTTATGTTCATATTTCTATAATTTAGATCGGATATTGATGTACTAGTCATTACCTTTATCTAAAGACACTATATAGCAAACAAATGAAATCTTAAATAATTACCCAAATGTAAAAAAGAATGACTTAAAAATATTCATACCAATTTTTTTTTTAAATGATTCAAAATATATTGTTGGTCATATCCTTCGTATTAATGACACTGTCATAAAAATATATAAAAACTCTCAAAAACAATACCAACACTATATATACAAATGTCTCTAAGAAAAAAAAAATACTAACATAACCCCATTGAAAGTTATAATTTTTAAGTAATAAATAAAATCTTGCTCATTTATAAGACTCGCGAATTTATCACTTCTATTACCACTCAATCCAATAACACAACATAATTATAAACTCATCCACTATATTTTTAATTCATTTTATCCTCATGTAATAAATTCTTCAAGCAAAAAAAATACTAATAGAATACAATTAAATTCACAATCTTTAAGCGATAAATAAAATCAACCAAATCTTACTCATTTATACAATTTATGAATTTATCACTATTATCACTATTCAACCCTAAATGACACAATATCATTGCAAATTTGATTACTAAATATTCAATTCTCCACATATAAATATACACAGAAAAACACTAACACACATTTCCTTTTTGGTTACCAAAAAACTCTTCTAACTAATAACTACTTAAGTTTGTAAGATATAATAAATTAATGTTTAATTAAAAAATAGGATAAAAATCATGGACATTCTCAGAGTTTTGACAATATTACATGGATAGCTCTTAACATTTTATAAATAACACTGAGACCTACTGAAGTTTGAATTCATTGCCTAGAGACTCCTCTGTCTCTCTTCTGTCAATGTTGCTAATGAAAATTGATAATTTCATCCCAAAATTTTTTATTATTTTTACAATTGCCTTTCTCTATATTTAGTACAAAAAAAATTAAAAATTTAATAAAATAAAATAAAATTTAATTGAGTACCCAAAAAATTGATTAAATGAATTTTAATATTAATTTGATAACAATGAAATGTAATTTGATATTAATTCGATAAAGTTTAATATAAATTGAAAAAAATTAAATGTCAATTTTGTATAAAATTATATATTGATTTACAATGTAAGATTTATTTTGTGTTGAATATTATTTAGTGTTTATAATCAATGTGCTATTTTTTTTATTTATACTGAGTGTTATTTACAAATTAAAAAGCAAGTGGCAAAATATATGTTGTCATATATATAAAAACTTCGAATTGGTTTCATAAAATAAATAATTTTATAAGATATAGTTTCATATTTTTATGAAGTAAATAATAACAAAAATAACACCTAAGAAACAAAAAAAAAAGATAATAGTATGAAAGAGACAGAGGGAGAGAATTATATGAGAGTTGAGAGTCTTAAAGTTATATAAAAAATGAAAGATCAATTAGGACCATCAGATCAAAACGATATAAGCCGCAAAAAACTCAAGACAAACAATCTAGCTACTTTATTATATATATTAAAGTATGTGAAATATAATACAATGGATTCAAATTCAAATAATTGATAAAAATATCAATTTATATCTATTTAATCAAAATTTAAATTCCAATCATCTCATCCATTAACGGGTCTACTAGGTTGGGATCCGAATCTAGATTCATTGATTGGGTAACTGGGTTGCTGATCCATATGAACAGTCAACGTACGTGGAGCCCAATTGTTACTGCCGCCCCAATCTCAGCCCACACATCTCCGAGACTAAAGCATCAATACGTGTTTGTACACTTATCAGGTTACGCGCACCTGAATTAATTTATTTTTTAATTCGGTCAAAAATAAATTATTCACATCAAAATTAGAATATTCATGACTCACAAATGATAAATCTTTTATGGTCTGATTTCAAAGAGTTGTCAATATACGAACTCAAAACGTATGAATTTATAATTCATCCTTATTACTAGTTGAGTTGTCCTTAAAATTTTAAAGGTGTTTCTTGGCCTAAAAAAATTTAAAAAGAAAGATAAAAAGAAAAATAATTTCTTTTGAAAAAGAAAAATAGTTTCATTGCATTACATATTGACCATAGGACCTTCACCTCATGATCAGTGATAAACTTTGGCCCCAAAGCTCACACATGTGAAAACAACCTACTCATATATAATGAATCAATCACTACAAAACAAAAGTAAAAATTCAACAATTGAATTACTATCCAAATATCATCGATCATTATCATATTTGTATAGTTGTTGTAACGCCCCAAAAATTCTCTTGGGTGACATTACATTCTAAAAATCATTTACCGTATGAGAGCATTAAGTAAAATTCATCACGACGAAAG